TCTCTCTCTCTCTCTCTCTCTCTCTCTCTCTCTCTCTCTCTCTCTCTGTCTCTCTCACTCACACACGCACGCACGCACGCACGCACGCACGCACGCACGCACGCACGCACACACGCACACACACACACACACTTACTTTTCCAGAAGCAGACAAGGCAGAATATTCAAGATAACACTGTCGCTCCCTTCAGAAGTCCATCGGGTCTTTCTCTTCAAGGCCACTATCAGTAATGGTTTTGCCTCCATCTTTCAATGAAATCCCATCACTTTCAGTTGTGGCCTTAGGAGGGGAGGCACGTTCTGACCCCACCTCTGGCGCACCCCAAGTATCAGTGGTAGGTGGGTAAAAGTCATCATCAAACCTGCAGAATCCTTCATCCACACCTTGATCGTAGCGCTGGTAGGTGGAGGCATGCACCTCATTTTCTCTGGCTGTGATCTCCAGCGTGCTGTTCCACATGCCATAGCCAAAATAGATGAGAACACCTAAAGAGACACAGAAATTCAATTCAGTTCCATTTATTTATATAGAGCCAAGTCACAACAGAAGTCATTTCAGGGCACTGAACAGAAACATTCACATTCATTAAAAATGCCAATTAGAAAAGTTCTCTATCTAAAGAGGAAGCAGATTGTGTTGAGTCTTCATTTTGTTGCAGTCTCCCATCCTGAGCAAGCACAAAGGAGACAGTGGAAAGGAAAAATGTCCTCATAATAGGAAGAAACGCCCAATCAGTGTACAAACATTTACAAGACATAGCATGGGTATGTATGGATAGGACTGTTGAAGTAAAACTGAGTTGAACTAGCATTCATTAAAGGAATGCTACTGCCTTTCATGCCAGCATGTTAAACTAAGATCACCTTGTGTTTTAAATGAAAGTTTGTCAAACTTAAAAAAAAAAAAAAAAAAAAAAAATCAAGTTCCCTTGTCTTGGCTGTGTTGATGTAAAGGTCGTTAGCATCACACCAGCTGACAGACAGTTATGATCTCCCTGTGTTCCTGGTCATTCCCTTCAGATACTAACCTGATGGCTGTGTCATCAGAGAAGTTCTGGATGTAACACCTGTCTGTGTTGTATGTCTGACGTGTACAGGGTGAAGAGGAAGGGGGAGAGGACTGTACCTTGAGGTGCCCCCATGCTGCTGACTCTGACATTAGACAGTCACCAAGCCTCACCACTGTGGTCTGTTTGTGAGGTAGTTGATAGTCCATGCAGTCAGGTAATTGTCAATGTCAACTTTATATAGAACAATGTTGACCAAAGTGCTTCACAAACAAGACCATAAAATAAATGAAAGATCAAACATTAAAAACACAAGTTTAATAAAATAGTCTAAGAACAAACTAAAACAAGAAAATAACTACTTCAGATGTACATGAATTAAAAGCCAGAGCAAAAAAGTGAGTTTTTAGGTGGGATTTAAAGGACTGTACGGACTCTGCAGAACAAATATCCAGAGCTTGGGGGCTGCCACAGCAAATGCCTGATCCCCTCTGCATTTTAATTTTGCCCTTGGCTGCACTAAAAGCATCTGACTGGAGCTCAGTGCTCTATATGGATTATAAAAATGCAACAAATCCATTAAGTAACTGGGTACCGAGCCATTTAAAACTTTAAAAGTCAGTAAAAGAATAGTAAAATCAACACGAAAAGGAATAGGTAGCCTGGGTAAAATGGCTAAAACAGGAGTGAAGTAGCCCTGCCTTTTACTTCCTGTTAAAAGTTGCACAGCAGCGTTCTGGACTAACTGCAGGAGATGGAGAGATCATTGTTCCAAACCAACATATCTCTGTCTGGTGGTGATGAAAGCGTGGATGACAGTTTTGAGATCTTTAAGAGGAATGTAAGATTTTGCTTTGGCTGTTTGACATAACTGATAAAAACTGGTTTTGAAAATTGAGGATATATTAAGTTTAAAAGAACTGTCTAAAATCACCCCAAGATTCTTGACCACAGATAAACAATGAAGAGAACCCAGAATTTCAGCAAAACACAAAGACATGAGTCTGGTTGTCAAATATAACAACTTCAATCTTTTTTCATTCAGGGTCAGACAGTTCTGATTGAACCAGTCTTTGATATCTTTTAGACAGTTAAACAGAGGCTGCAATGGGGCAGAGACATCAGATGTAAAAGGAAAACATATGTGGATGTCGTCAGTGTAGCAGTGGAAATGATTGTTGTGCTTTCTAAATAATAGTCCCAAAGGCAGCATGTACAAACCAGATTCCAAAAAAGTTGGGACACTAAACAAATTGTGAATAAAAACTGAATGCAATGATGTGGAGATGGCAAATGTCAATATTTTATTCGTTATATAACATAGATGACCGATTAAAAAGTTTAATCTGAGTAAATGTAACATTTTAAAGGAAAAAATATGTTGATTCAAAATTTCACAGTGTCAACAAATCCCCAAAAAGTTGGGACAAGTAGCAATAAGTGGCTGGAAAAAGGAAATTGAGCATATAACGAACAGCTGGAAGACCAACTAACACTACTTAGGTCAACTGACAACATGATTGGGTATAAAAAGAGCTTCTCAGAGTGTCAGTGTCTCTGAGAAGCCAAGATGGTAAGAGGATCACCAATTCCACCATTGTTGCACAGAAAGATAGTGCAGCAATACCAGAATGGTGTTACCCAGCGTAAAATAGCAAAGACTTTTAAGTTATCATCATCAACCGTGCATAACATCATCAAAAGATTCAGAGAATCTGGAACAATCGCTGTGCGTAAGGGTCAAGGCCGTAAAACTCTACTGGATGCTCGTGATCTCCGGGCCCTTAAACGTCACTGCATCTCAAACAGGAATGCCACTGTCAAGGAAATAACAGAATGGGCTCAGGAATACTTCCAGAAAGCATTGTCAGTGAACACAATCCACCGTGCCATCTGCCATTGCCAGCTGAAACTCTACAGTGCAAAGAGGAAACCATTTCTAAGCAAGCTCCACAAGCTCAGATATTTGCACTGGGCCAGGGGTCATTTAAAATGGAGTGTGGAAAAATGGAAGACTGTTCTGTGGTCAGATGAGTCACGATTTGAAGTTCTTTATGGAACACTGGGACGCCATGTCATCCAGACCAGAGAGGACAAGGATAGCCCAAGTTGTTATCAACGCTCCGTTCAGAAGCCTGCATCACTGATGGTATGGGGTTGCATGAGCGCTTGTGGCATGGGCAGCTTGCATGTCTGGAAAGGCACCATTAATGCAGAGAACTATGTTCAGGTTCTAGAACAACATATGCTCCCATCTAGACGTCATCTCTTTCAGGGAAGACCCTGCATTTTTCAACACGATAATGCCAGACCACATTCTGCAGCAATCACAACATCATGGCTATGTAGGAGAAGGATCCGGGTACTGAAATGGCCAGCCTGCAGTCCAGATCTTTCACCTATAGAGAACCTTTGGCACATCATAAAGAGGAAGGTGCGACAAAGAAGGCCCAAGATGATTGAACAGTTAGAGGCCTGTATTAGACACGAATGGGACCGCATTCCCATTTCTAAACTTGAGATACTTGTCTCCTCTGTCCCCAGACGTCTGTTGAGTGTTGTAAGAAGAAGGGGGGATGCCACACAGTGGTAAAAATGGACTTGTCCCAACTTTTTTGGGATTTGTTGATGCCATGAAATTTGGAAACAACAGATTTTTCCCTTAAAATGATACATTCTCTCAGTTTAAACTTTTGATCTGTGATTTGTGTTCTATTCTGAATAAAATATTAGATGTTGGCACCTCCATATCATTGCATTCAGTTTTTATTCACAATTTGTTTAGTGTCCCAACTTTTTTGGAATCCGGTTTGTATAAGTAAAACAAAATAGGACCCAAAATGGACCCTTGAGGCACACCACAATGAAAAGGAGCCAAGGAAGAAGAATATTCCCGCATGGAAACAGGAAAGGACATGTCTGCTAAGATTTGAACTAAAACTGAGTCTTTAAGACTAACAACATGTTCAAGTCTTGATAAAATGATGCTGTGATCAACTGTATCAAGAGCAGCAGTTAAATCTAAACGAACTAAAAAATCGGAGCAACCAGAGTCAACCTTGGAAAGAAGATTGTTTTTTCATTCAACCTTTATTTATACAGGTTAGTCTCATTGAGCCACGAGGACTTATTTACAAGAGAGACCTGTTTTAAACACAGAACACAGATGAGGTACAAACAACAATAGCCGGTCATATAAAAAGCATATAAAATGAAAAGTAAATAGAAGAAATGATATAAAAACGAAATAAAAAAAAATTGAGGGTTCAATTTCACCAACAGTCACATGCCAAAGTGTCCCTGGGCAAGACACTGAACCATAGGCATCGCAACCATTATATGTGAAGGGGACAAGTCCCCCCCCCCCCCCACAAAAAAAAAGTTTATTTTGGACCCCCCCCCCCACACTTTTACTATAAAACATTAGTTCAGGCAGCGCCGTTTCTCTTTCTTCGTGAACAAATCCATTCCACTTGATTAATGGGATAATACTCAAGCCACTAAAACTCCACTCCAGGTTTTCCTGGTTACCTCCAACTCTCCACCGTCCCTTCCTGCCTCTTGTCTCGGCAGAAAACGCGCACAGGTGGAGGAGGTGGAGGTTCCTGTGTTACTCGCTCGCCAGTTTAGCAGCTTAGTGCGGGCAGTGGTTGACCAAGGGGTTGATCATAAACATATATTCATGTTAGGAGGATGCTTGAGAGGAGCTACGTCTGTAGCATGTTAGCTTAGCAGTAACTGTGATGCTGTACGCTGCAGGTGTAAGAGACGCTGTGTGTTCAGGTGCATTAAAGTTGAAATGTCTTCAAAACCCCACACCTTACTGTCCTCAAACTTCATGAGAAACATCATTTAGATGAGGAGTGTTGAACACAAGTAAAAATGTCCAGTGGTGATGATTTTTATTTCTCTATAAAGACAAATAGTGCCGATCTGACACTCTGTATTAAAGTGTATTAAAGTTAAAATGTCTTCAAAACCCACAGCTGAATTTACACAAACTTGGTGAGAAATATGCTTTAAATGTGTGGAATTAAAGGAAATCTAGGTGAAATGTTGCTTTTTTTATACACTAGTGAACACCTTTTTGAACGTGCACACACACGTGCACGCACGCACGCGCACACACACACACACACACACACACACACCTACACACATCATTGTGTCCCCCCCACATTACGGATGCTTCTGACGCCCTTGCACTGAACCCCTCATTGTCTCCGATGTGTGTCCCATTGGTGTGTGAATGTGATAAAGCTCTGATTATTCTTTGTACAGAAATAGCAGAGTGCTGTATGAATGGGTAAATGAGGCATAGATTGTAGTGTAAAGCACTTTGAGTATCTTGATAAGATAGAAAAGTGCTATATAAGTGCAGTCCATTTATGAATCTTAGCGCACTGTGATAGGCAGCGTCCAACATCTGCAAGGTACTTGCAGGAGCATTCATGTAAATAATGTCACCTTTGTCAATGG